TGAACAGGAGACTGCCGCTGAAAGGGTTCCTCTGTTTGGCACCCCAACCTCCTTCACACCCCCTCTCCTGAGCTGGCAGTCATTTGGCAGGAGTATGCATAGGAGAAGCAGCCCTGGCGTTCGCCTGGGTGGTCTGATTTCTAGTGGACTGCCAAAACATAAAACCGTACAATGCCTCCCTTTAGCTTTCTGGGCCATCACCTGACAAGACTCATGAGAAGCTTTTGGAAGCAGACACCCTGGATCTGGTCCCAAGTAAAGAGGCCCCGAGGAGCCAGAGCACAGAGTGCATGCGCTATAATTAGCAGAGGTGCAGGGGTGCTGGTGCGGGCGCGCGAGAAAACCATGCTTGCCCAGCTTCCTCCCCCGAGTGACTTAACTTTCTACTCACAGCTTGTCCTCTGAAGGAAGTATTCTTTTCTTTTTTTCTTTTGGTCAGTTGTGAGACTTGAACTGTGAGTCTGGGCACTGTCCCTCAGCTCTTCAGCTCAAGGGGAGCACTCTACCACTTGAACCACAGCATCACTTCTGGTTTTCTGGTGATTCATTGGAGATAAGAGTCTCACAGACTTCCCTTCCTGGGCTGGCTTTGAACCATGATCCTCAGATCTCAGCCTCCTGAGTAGCTAGGATGACAAGTGTGAGCCACCAGCACCTGGCTGAAGTTTTCTAATAATACGGGGTGGGCAGAGCCTGGCTGCCCTGCAGGGTAAGGATGAAGACAGCTTAGAGGCTTCCAGAAATTTCACTGACAGACAAATTGAGTCCAGGTTCTATGCTTAAGTTAGTTTGAAAGGTGTAGGATTTCTGAGAGCCTTTAATAAACTAACAAGTCTCTTTTTGGGGGGGAGGGGGGCCTTGAACCCAGAGCATCATATGACCCCTTAGTCTTTCACTCCAGGCAAGCCCTCTACCACTTAAGCCATAGCTCCACTTCCAGCTTTTTGCTGTTAATTGGAGATAAAGGTCTCCATGGACTTTCCTGTCCAAAGCTGGCTTTGAACTGTGATCCTCAGATCGCTTAGCAAGTGTGGGGCTCTGAGTTCAAACACATTGACTGCCCCCAAAATAAACAAAAGAAGGGGCTGGGGGTATAGCTCAATAGTAGAACATATGCATAGCATGCTCAAATCTCTGGGGGTTCAATCCCTAGCACCATTAAAAAAAAATCCCAACTATAATAAGTATTATTCCACTCATGGAGGGGTGGGGGGAGTTGGTAGAATGGGAAAATTATTTATGGCGGTGTGCTGGGCACCAGTGTCTCATTTCTCTCATCCCAGCTACTCAGACGGCTGAGATCTGAGGATCACAGTTCGAAGCCAGCCTGGGCAGAAAAACTTGTGAGACCCTTATCTCCAATTAACCACCAAAAAAGCCAGAAGTGGGTGTGTGGCTTAAGTGGTAAAGCATTGGCCTTGACAGGAAAATGCCAAGTGAGAACAGGAGACCCTGAGTTCAAGCCCCAGCACCACCTCTTCACCCCTCAACACACATTTTCCTTTCTTTCTTTCTCTCTCTTTTTTTTTTTTGGTCAGGCGTGGGGCTTGAACTCTGGGCCTGGGCGCTGTCCCTCAGCTCTTCAGCTCAAGGCGAGCGCTCTACCACTTGAGCTACAGCGCCACCTCCGGTTTTCTGGTGGTCTATTGGAGATAAGAGTCTCATGGACTTTCCTGCCCGGGCTGGCTGTGAACTTCAATCTTCAGATCTCAGCCTCCTGAGTTGTAGCTAGGATTATAGGCGTGAGCCACTTGGTGCCCAGCTCACAGACATTTTTAAAACAGCAGGGTCTGGGGCCTGTGACCCAGGCTTGGTCCCCTTTCTGCTGCTAATGCTAGCAATGCCGGTGACCAGGGTGTGTCCCACCCACTGAAGAGGTCAGAATAGATTTCTAAGAAACTTCTCAGTTCCTACCGTCAAACCACAGACTCTGAATGCCAAATGTATTTTTGCAATCCAGCATTATATGGTGTGACAAAAAAAAAAACCACCGACTGCTCTGGAATCTGACTAGGTGTGACAGTTTGCGTCTGCCACCTCTCCACCTGCTCCTTCCTGATCTCTGTGCCAACACCCTGAGTCAAGAAAGCTGGGCTCAAACCCAGTCAACTGAGGAAGCCACGTCCCACAGCTCTGCTCAAGGGAGCTGGGGGGGGGGGGGGCTAGAGTGTTGAACCCATATCCAAAGCTGCGCCTCCCATTAGTGCCCAGGGCCAACAGTGAAAACTTAATTCTAGCAGGGCTCAGGCAGCTCATGCTGGTAATCCTAGCTATTTAGGAGGCTGAGACTTGAGGATTGAAGTTTGAAGCCAGCCTGAGCAGGGAAAGTCCATGAGGATTGTTATCTTTGATTAACCAACAAAAAGCTGCAAGTGAAGATGTGGCTCAAGTGGTAGAACATTAGCCTTGAGCGAAAAAACCTAGAGACAGCCCTTAAGTTAAACAACAAGCTTAACTTTTTTAACAACAACAAAGGGAAACTGAGCCCAGCCCAGGATGAGGGGGTGCAGCCAGGATGCGGGGTGCAGTGTTGCAGCCAGCCAGCCCTCTCGGTGCTCACACAGGCTCCCCCACCAGATGTTGCCGGTTTGCAGGCCAACAGCTGTTTCCTGTCCTGCCATACCCTGGGGCTGTCTGCGGGCTGACTTGGGCCATACAGAAGTTGCTCCTCTCTGTTTGCATAATCACTTCTGGAACCACAGATGTGGGTGAAGACATTGAAGGAACTATTAATACAAGGCAGCACAATTCTACCCACTGCCACCACTGACAAAAAAGCTCTCTAGCACTTTTGGACGGCTGACTGCTGCTGCAGTCAGCAAAAAATTTATTTGATTCTGATGAAAAATAAAGAGGGGGGGGGAGCAGGACATGGGTAGCTTATGCCTGTAATCCCACCTATTCAGGAGACTGAGATCTGAAGACTCAGGTTTGAAGCCAGCCAGGGTAAGAGTCCTTGAGACTTTTATCTTGTATAAACCATCAAAAAAGCCCAAAGTGGAGCCGTGGCTCACGTGGCAGGGAGCTAGCCTTGAGCCAAAAAAAGCCTAGGGACAGCGCCCAGGCCCCGAGATCAAGCCCCAGGATCACTATACACACAACAACAACAAAAGGATCATAATTAAATAGTAAAACCCCAATCCCAGTAATACACAGCAGTTTCATAAATAAAGTGAGAAACAGCAGAAGACAATAACGAAACAAATGCAAATGTTCTCTCCCTACTCAATGGAGATGGCTGCTCATTTGTGTTATGGAAGACACGAGGGCCTTGCAATCGCTCTGCCAGGGAGCATCAAGCCCAAAAGGAATGCTCAGGATTCTCCAGTGTAGCGAGGAGTGAGCAACCACACTTCACCTTCAGGGCTCCTATTGGCTAAGTCACCTTGAGGCCAAGCAGCTTGAAATTTCCACTCTTATGACTGGAAATGTTTTTGTGTGTGCACTGGTCCAAGGGCTTGCTTGAACCCTTGCTTAGCTTTTTCTGCTCAAAGCTGGTGCTCTATGAGTTGAGCCACACCTCCACTTCAGATTTTTTGCTGATTAACTGGAGATAAGAGTCTCCTAGATGTGTCTGCCCAAGCTGCTGGCTTCAAATCTCAATCCTCAGATCGCAGCCTCCTGAGCAGCCTGGATGACATGTGAAAGCCACTGGTGCCTGGCTGACTGTGGAATTTTTCCGTTGAAGTCTCCTTTCCTTTGCTCTGACCCTTGAAAGGATTCAAGGTCCGGGTCAGAGAAAGGGCTCCCCTAACACCTGCAGGAAATTTGGAAATTACCCATGATCGACCTAAAGTGCAAGTCAGATGAGTTCATGTGCCTGCTGACATCCTGACTGAGCAGAAACATCAGGGCGCATCAGTCAGCAGTCAGCCAAACACGCTTCCCCAAGAACTGGTTCTGAGCAGTCATGAAAAGCGTCCCAGCCCCTTCACCTTAGAAAATGAACACCTCTGTGCTCTCTGCTCACGGGCAGGAAGCTTTGGCACTAAGTCAGAAGATCATTTCTTGCTCGATTGTTCCAAAGGTCAGTCCAGCTCATAGGTCTGTGCATTTTCAGCCACGCATGGGTGTTTCCCGAGTTCCAAGATGCACTCAGTGCCCCTTCACCGCTCCTCCATACCAAATTGGGGGATTTTCCTATCAGTCCCCAAAAACCACTCCCAAGGGGAACCATGGCCAAGGTGCTTTTTGTTCTTAAGGACGGCCCTCTACCACTTGAACCACAGCTCCACTTCCAGCTTTTTTGGTGGGTTATTGGGGATGAAAGTGTCACACAACAGACTTTCTTGCTGCAGGGGGGTGGGGGGCTGGCTCCGAACGTCCATCCTCACATCTCAGCTTCCTGAGTAGCTGGGATTATAGACGTGAGCCACCAGCACCGGGCAAGGTGTGGAATTCTCACCCAGTCTTTCAACTTGGGCTCGCCTGTTCTGTTCTCCCAGCCTTGAGGGAGCTCTCCTAGACTTTTTCTCTGCCAGTTTCGTAGCAGCTACTGCTGCTGCTGGTGACGGGGATGGTGGAGGTGGTGGTGGCGGCATGTCTTGGGCTTTCCACACTTCTCCATCCCATCAGACGACTTCCTCATTATGGTTCCCGTCACCCCCCTCTCCTAAGGTGACTCGAAACAGGTGTGTGCTCACAACTTCAGGAAGGCGATCGCTACACTCGGCTTCCTTCTCGTGCTAGAAGGGGGCCCCAAGAGGGTCCTATCGCGCCGTTCCCCGGCAGCCCCCAGACGCAAGGGTACCGAGTCCCCCCCCTCCCGGGGCGAGAAAACCCCACTTCTCCCAACACGGTGGCGCCCCGCCCCCTTCGCGGAGCCACCTGCTGCTAGTCCCGCCCCCCGCACGCTCCAATAGGCCAGCTCTTCAGAGCCCGCTCTCCCATTGGGCAGAGGCCCCGTCCCTCCAACGCCACGTCTCCGGGCTCCGGCGAAAGAGGCCCGGGCGTCGGCCCTTGCCCTAGAAAGAATTACTGTGAGTTGAGGGGAGTCCTACCTGGAAGGGGTTCACGTCCACTGGGTCCGCAAAAGGGTTGTTGTCGAAGGCCGACATGGCGGTCGGAGGCCACAGCCGGCGAACTTGGAGAGCGCTGCCGCCTCCGGGCACCCAGACCCAGCGGCGATCTGTGTAGACCCTCCACTTCCGGGAGCCAGGAAGCCGTTCTGGCGCATGCGTAGTGCCCTCCCAGGGAGCGTGGTCTGTTTGCGTCACAGAGGCCAGCCCCGCCCCCAGCCCCGCCCTCTGCACGGTGAGGGATGGACATTTGCTTTCCTTCTGCTTCCTCCCCACCCCCCGACACTCCCACCCCGGGGGTCCCGGGGGCGCAGGGGGAACCCAGGGGCCGCAGGCCTTCCCAGATGCCTCTCAGCCTGCAGTAAACTCCCCAAAGTGGGACCGGGGTGACAAGGACCAGCAGAGAGGGCCATGCAAAAGTACCCCACCCTGGCTGAGCCCCCTCTTCTTTTGGGGGTCTGGCAGAAAAGCTTTCTTGTCCCCAGTTGCGTGTCAAGCTTGAGGATCCCTTGGCTCCTGCGAGTGGGGATCTGAACCTGGACATCAGCATTTATGGACGGAGTCATTTATTTGTGGAGTCGGTCATGGAGTCGTCCATCAGTCGTGGGAACCTGGCTATCTCCTCCCTACAAACTCACCTTGCCATATCTTTCTGGTTTTGTTTCCCTTGAAATTATAATTCTTTTATTATATAGGATCTCAGCATCTAGCTCCAAGCCAGCCTCAAATTCATTATGTAGCCCAGGCTGTCATCAAATGCTGTTTGATCTTCCTGTCTCAGCTATCCTTATGTTCAGATTACAGGTGTGCACCACCGTGCCCAATTCAGAATTTGATATATCTGCTGTAGAATTCAGCCACCATCATTTTTTTTATCGGGGACTAGATGAGAGTTGCTATTGATATCTTATTCTTCGTGTCGTAACTAGAGATAAGTTATTTTGTTATTGGGTTTCGTTTTTTTTTGGGGGGGTGGTTTTTGTTTGTTTGGTCAGTTATGGGGCTTGAATTCTGGGTCTGGGTGCTGTCCCTCAGCTCTTCAGCTTAAGGCAAGCATTCTACCACTGGGGCCGTAGCCCCACTTCCGGTTTTCTGGTGGTTAATTGAAGATAAAAGTCTCTCTGACTTTCCTTACTCAGGGGCTGGGAAGGTGGCTCAGTGGTAGAGCGCTTACCTTGCATGCATGAGGCCCTGGGATTCATTCTTCAGTACCACATAAGCAGAAAAAGCCAGAAGTAGCACTGTGGCTCAAGTAGTAGAGTGCTAACCTTGAGCTGAAGAGCTGGTGGACACTGCCCAGGCCCAGGCCCAGAGTTCAGGCCCCACCACCAAAAAAAAAAAATTCCTTACACTTCCCTTGTTCCCTCCTACCTCAGTATCCTTGCACATGCTTTCCTTTATCACTGGTATTTCCCCATTCCTTATGCCCCATCTTCAACTTACTCTTGAAGTCCATGTTTAGAAAGACTCTCCAAGCTAGGTGCCAGTGGCTCATGCCTGTAATCCTAGCTACTCAGAAGGCTGAGATCTGAGGATCCTGGTTCAAAGCCAGCCCAGACAGGAAAGTCAGTAAGACACTTATCTCCAATAAGCCACTTAGAAAACCAGAAGCGGTAGTAGAGAGCTCCCCTTGAGCTGAAGAGCTGAGGGACAGCGCCCAGGCCCAGAGTTCAAGCCCCACAAGCAAAAAAAAAAAAAAGGGCTTTCCTTTGCTAGTTCAGCCCATGCTCCCATCATAAAATTTCATATCACCCTGTAATTTTCCTTCATAAAGCTCATTAACAGATTGTAATTGTAGACCTGTATAGGTAGTTATTTGTTTATGTGTGTCTCTTCCACTAGACAGGAAACGCCACAAGACTGTGTTTGCCTCACTCTGTGAGTATGTATCAGTATTAGGGCTTGAACTCAGGCTTGAGTGCCATCCCAGAGCTTTTGTGCTCAAGGCTAGCAGTCCACCACTTAAACCAGTCTTTTGGTAGTTAGAGGTGAGTATCATGCACTGGCCATGGGTGGCTCACGACTATATTTCTAGCTACTCAGGAGGCTGAGATCTGCGGATCATAGTTCAAAACCAGCCTGGGCAGGAAAGTCTGTGAGACTCGTATCTCCATTTAACCCCCAGAAAACTGGAAGTGGTGCTGTGACTCAAAATGGTAGAACACTAGCTTTGAGCAAAAGAGCTCAGGAAGAGGGGCCAGGCCCTGAGTTCAAGCCACATGACTGATAAAAAAAAAAAAGATTCAACTTTATTGTCTCCAGGCACTATCCTCAGGATATGGAGTGGGGTACGGGTGGGGGATGAGTACCAACCCCCCATCTCCCAGCCCCTAAGGTCATCCTCCAAGGGCAGGGATCTTGGCTGTCTGCATCCTGGGAGAAGTCTCTGGCATAAGAACCAAGCCAATGGGCTGGGAATGTGGCTTAGTGATTGAGTGCTTGTCTAGTATGCATGAAGCCCTGGATTTGAGTCCTCCGTACCACATACACAGAAAAAGCCAGAAATGGTGCTGTGGCTCAAGTGGTAGAGTGCAAGCCTTGAGCAAAAGCAGCTCACAGACAGTGCCCAGACCCTGAATTCAAGCAAAACAAAACTGACAAAACAAAACAAAATTACCAGGCCATCTACCCCTCCTTGTGCTGTAGTAGCTACGTTGCTGGACCAATGAAGCAACAAACATTTTGATCACTGTGGAGGCTGCCCTCCCATCAATCTCTGAACATTTCTAGGATGTGCCCTCTATGCTGGGAGAGACCATTTTGCTCATTCATTCATTCATTCAGTGAGGAAAGGGTAGCTGCATGTCCCACCTTCCACAGACTCAATTTTCATCTCTACATTTTAGAGGGCTGAGGACTGGGGACTATAGCTTGGTGGTAGAGCACTTACCTAAAATGTGCAAGAGCCAGCATTTGATTCCCAACACCAAAAGAAGAAATGGTAAGTTAAATGGGAGAGCTGGGAGCCGGTGGCTCACACCAGAGCCCAGGCCCAGATCACAAGCTCCAGATCTGACACAAAAGAGAGAGAGAGAAGAAAAAAATCAAGTGGCAGACACTGGTGTTCATGCCTGTAATTTTATTTATTTTTATGTTTTATTTATTTTTTGTTGTTGTTGTTGGTCATGGGGCCTGAACTCTGGGCCTGGGCACTGTCCCTCAGCTCTTTAGCTCAAGACTAGTGCTCTGTCATTTGAGCCAAAGTGCCACTTCTGGCTTTTTCTGCTTATGTGGTACTGAGGAATCAAACCCAGGGCCTCATGCATGCAAGGCAAGTGCTCTACCACGGAGCCACCTTCCCAGTCCCTGCCTATAATCTTAGCTACACAAGAGGCTTAGATCTGAGGATCTTGGTTCAAAGCCATCCCAGTCAGGAAAGCAGGTGAGACTCATCTCCAATCAACCTCCAGAAAACCAGTAGTTGGGATCCCCGCAGGAGCCATGCCGGGCTCTTTTGTACCTTTTGCTATACTCCATGATTCACACATTACACTGGTAGACCTGTCTTCCTAGGCCAGAGGAGAAGTTCTGCAAAGGCAAAGTGGTGCTGTCTTCTGTGAGTCTGACTCAAAGTGATTGAGTGCTAGTCTTGATCACAAAAACTCAGGGACAGCACCCAGGTCCTGAGTTCAAGTTTCATGACCATAAAAACTAAAAATCAATGAAAACGTTTGCAAACTGCCTCCCAGTCTCACCTACGATCTTACTGTAGTCTTTTCTTTTTTCTTGCTGGACTAAGGCTTGAACTTCTGGGCTCACATATGCAGCCAAACACTTCACAAACTAAGCCATACCTCTACTTTCTTTTTTTCTTTTTTGAGACAAGTTTTCCCTGTGTTGCCCCAGCTGGCCCCTAACTCCCATCCTCCTGCCTCAGCCTCCCCAGTAGTTGGGATCCCAGGCAGGAGCCATGCCCGGCTCTTCAGTGCCTTTTGCCATACTCCATGATTCACGCATTACACTGGTAGACCTGTCTTCCTAGGCCAGAGAAGTTCTGCAAAGGCAAAGTGGTGCTGCCTTCTCCGAGTCTGACGTCTCTTCCCAGCCCAGCGCGCACAGTCCATGGAACTTGAGTGAAGGGAGGAAGGAAGGCTGAGACCCAGATTCTTGGGGGGGGGGGGGGGGGGAGGAACTACATTTCCCGTGGAGCTCTGCGCGCAGGGCCGCGGAGGCAGCAGCCAGGAACTCCATTTCCCATGAAGCCCCGCGCGCGGAGCCGCGGGGGCTGCCGGGAAAGTATACGTGCCGGTAGCCGGGTCCACGGCCGCCGGGATGGCGACTCCGAGAGGTGATTTGTCGGTTGACCCGCGAGCGAGGCGGGGGCGTCGGGGGGAGGATCGCGGCCCGGGGTCGGGCCTCACAGCTGAGGCTGGAGGGGAGACGGGCGGGTGGCGGGCACCGGGAGGGCCTGGGGGGGTCCCCGCCCCCCGCGGGCTCGGGTCACCCGGAGGCGGGAGCGCGGGGCCCGGGCTGCATCCGCCCGCGGACGGGACACTGAGGCTTGCAGAAGAGACGGGTCCCTCCCACAGCCTACACACAGACCCCTGTTCCACTCAGTCCCCAGTCAGAACCCGCCCCTCGGTCCTGGTTCCCCTGGAGCCTCGGCCCGCGCTGCCCCCAGGCCAGTCTGACCCCAGGCCAGGGCTGACCCCAGGCCAGGGCTGACCCCAGGCCAGGGCTGACCCTCCACCTGTCCCCACAGTGTTCCCGCTCTCCTGCGTCGCCCAGCAGTACGCCTGGGGCAAGAAGGGCTCCACCAGTGAAGTGGCCTGTCTGCTGGCCAGCAATGACCCACTGGCCCAGATCGCCGAGGACAAGCCCTACGCCGAGGTGAGACCAGAGAGACCTGACCGGCTGGGAAGCGAGGGAGCAAGGAGACGCCCTTCTGGCTCCTGGTCAGTGAGCCAAGTGATGGCAACCAAAGGAAGGGAGAGATTGTCCTAGAAAAAGCAATCTCAGACCTCTGGTGCTCTCCATCTTTCCAGCAACTCAGCACTTACTGGTGCATGTGTGTGTGTGTGTGTGTGTGTGTGTGCGCGCGCGCCAATCCTAGAGCTTGAACTCAGGGCCTGGGCACTTGCTTAAAGCTAATGCTTTGTCAGTTGAGCAACACCTCTATTTCTGGCTTTTTGCTGGTTAACTGGAG